TCCACCAATCCTGATGCCACATTTCTCCTCGTACAGCCTAGCATCTTAGATGATCTGTTCTGCATACAGATTGAAAAGGTATGGAGACAAAATACATCCTTGATGGACTCCTTTCTTGATTTTGAACCATGTAGTGTCTCCCTGTTCTGTAAACCAAGTATAGGTTTCACATTAGCACAATCAAATGTTCTGGGATTCCCAGCTTGTTGTGATCCACACAGTCAAAAGCCTTTGCATAGTCAATGAAGCACAGATAGACATTCTTCTGGTATTTGCTTCATATACTTATAAAAATTGGACTTTGACTAAGGAAAACCAAAAAAGAATTGATGCCTTTGATTTGGTACTGGAGAAGAGTGTTAACTATACCATGGACTGCCAAAAGAACAAACAAGTCTACAAGTCTATCTTGGAGGGACTGCAGCTAGGGTGATCTATAGCGGCAACAGTGGTGAAACCTCAGTTCACATATTGGGCATGTTATCAGGAAGGGCCAATCTTTGGGAAAAGTCATCATCCTGCGAAAAGTAGAGGGTCAGAGAAAGAGAATGAAAAAGTAGGAGGTCAGAGAAAGACAGGAAGACCTTCAACAAGGTGACTTGCTACAGGGACTGCATCACTGGGCTTGGGCGTAGCGGACATCCTGGGAGTGGTGTGGGATGGGGCAAGGCTCAGGTCTGTTGTTGTTCTGAGTGGTAGTTGGCTCGGCAACACCTAATACGTGGAGCAGTAACTGTCTGGAGTAGAGGTAGAGTTCAGCTCTTCCAGAGGAGGTCCTGAATACTGTTTTAGCTCTTACTAAGACATTTTCTGAGAGCTTTCTTGTTTTTACATTTGTTGTTTTTGTTGTTTTGGGCGCCATGCAGTCTGTGTAGACTCTTAATGACCCTTTATAGGTAACAGGATAAAATGCTGTCTGGCCCTGTGCCATCCTCACAGTTGGTGAAATATTTGAGCCTATTGTAGCAGTTCCTAATTCAATCTATCTCATCCAAGGTCTTCCTGTCTTTCTCTGACCCTCTGCCTTTCCCAGAATACCTTTTTCCAAGAACAGGCCATTCTTGCAACATGACCATTGTTGTTCTATGCCATCGAGTTGACTGCCACTCATAGCAACCCAGTGGACAACACGTCTGAACCCTGTCCTACCGTCCGCCATCCTCATCATCTCCGAGACTGAGTTCCACCATCCTAGCTTTTCAGAAGCATTCTCATTTCACTTTCTCCAAGATGGACCAGTTTGTTCTCTTGACAATCCATAGCATATTCAGTGCTCTTCTTCAACACCCCAACTCAAAGGCATCAATAATCCTGCTGTCATCCCTAGTCATTGTCCAGCTTTCAGATACATACTGAGTAATTGTGAAGAGCATGGCTTGGATCAGGCACACCTTAGTCTTTAAATCTCTTAGATGTCTTTAAACTTTACATCATTGCTCCTTAGCACTTTGGAGAGGTCCCTAACAGCAGAATTTCCCAATGTAACAAGTCTTTTGATTTTTTAAATTGCTAGTGCCAAGGGACTCAATGACACATAACAACAATAACATACTATTACAGGTTTAGAAGCAGGAGTGGCATCCACTTCCTAAACAACATGCCTCTGGAAACTCTATGAACTTTGATAAATGTCGATAGTTGTAGAGTATGTAAAGTGTGTCAGACGATGCTTCAGAATCCTTGACTCCAGGGAACACTCTGGCTTCACCCTCTCCAGGACAAACCTGTTTGTTCTCCTAGCAGTCCATGCTATATTCAGTAAATAAATAGTGTGGCAGACCGAGGGTAAAGTAATAATGAGACAGACAACCAAGAATGAGGTAAGAGAGCGTAAAGACAGGGGACAAGCAGTCCTGATGACTGAAGCTCCAAGCCACGCCTCTCTGTGTATTTATTGAGAATGACATGAAGGTAAATGAAGGATAATCACAAGGGAGTAGAAAACGAAACAAAGGATCATGGGGAAGTCTTTTGCAGATAAGTTGGAGTTCTTCTCTATTGTTTGTTGTTGTTGTTGTTATGTGCCATCGAGTCATTTGCGACGCATAGCGACCCTATGTACAGCAGCCTTAAACCCTGCTCTGTCCTGTGCCAATCTCATTGCCTCTGACACACCCATCCCGATTACCCCAGTCACTGAATCAATCCATCTCATAGAGGGTCTTCCCCTCCTGCGCTGTCCCTCCACCCTCCCAAGCACGATGTTCCTCTCCAAGGACCTGTCCCTCCTTGCAACATGCCCAAAGTATGTCAGACGAAGCCCCAGAATCCTTGCCTCCAAGGAGTTGCTTGCTTTAATCCTCTCCAGGATGAATCTGTTTGTTTTCCTGGCAGTCCATGGTACATTCAATACTCTTCTCCAACAGCACAGCTCAAAGGCATCAATTCTCCTTCTATCCTCCCTAGCCATTGTCCAACTCTCTGATGTATAACAAGAGATTGCAAAGACCATGGCCTGTATCAGGCACACCTTAGTCTCCAGAGAGACATCGTTACTCTTGAGTACTTTAGAGAGGTCATTAACAGCAGACTTTCCCATCGCAATACATTTTTTTATTTCCTGACTGTTGGTGCCAAGAGTGTTGACCGTGGAGCTGAGCAAACTGAAGCTGTGAACAATCTCAATCTCTTCGCCATCCATCCTGACGCTACCAATTGGTCCAGTGGTGAGAATCTTTGTCTTCTTGACATTGAGCCTCAGTCCATACTGAAGGCTGCAGTCCTTGACCCTCCGCAGCAAGTACATGAGGTCCTCCTCAGTTTCAGCACGCAAAGTTGTATCATCTTCATAATGCAGATTGTTGATAGATCTTCCACCAATCCTGATGCCACAGTTCTCCTCATAGAGCCCAGCCTCTCGGATAATCTGCTCTGCATACAGGTTGAAAAGGTATGGAGACAGGACACACCCCTGGCATACACCCTTCCCAATTTTGAACCATACAGTGTTACCCTGCTCTGTTATGACGACTGCCTCTTGGTCCAAGTATAGGTTTCACATTAGCACAATTAAATGTTCTGGGATTCCCATTCTTCTCAGAGTCAGCCACAGTTTGTTACGATCCACACAGTCAAACACCTTTGCATAATCAGTGAAACACAGATAGACATTATTCTGGTATACCCTACTTTCAGCTAAGATCCATCTAACATTAGCTACAATATCCCTAGTACCACGACCCCTTCTAAACCCAGCCTGGACTTCTGGTAGTTTTCTGTTGATGTGCTGTTCTAGTCGTTTTTGGATAATCTTCAGTAGAATCTTGCTTGCATGTGAAATCAATGATATTGTTCTGTAGTATCCACACTCGGTTGGGTCACCCTTCTTTGGAATGGGAACAAATATAGATATCTTCCAGTCAGTTGGCCAAGTTGTTGTTGTCCAGATTTCTTGGCACAACTTGGTGAGCACATTCTGGGCAGCATCTATACCATCTATTCCTGGCGCCTGTATTACACCTCCCTTATATCCTGATAGAGCATTTGGTTTATTAATAATATTAAATTTTATATTTGGCTTCACACAAATTGGGGGGGGGAAGAAATACTAACAAATTTCAAGACCTTACCACAGTAACTGGAGATCATCTGTGACTTGGGGTCACAGCCACCCCACACGGCTGTGATTCCACACAGTGAGTTCTGGCTTCCCTCCCCAATCTACTCCAGCCCAGATCCCTGGGTCTGCTCCACTCCACTGGGGGCTCGGATGTCCCATAGCTGCACCGTGTCTGAAGCCCTCTCTCCTTGCCCATAGAGAGCCCTGGTGGGCACAGTGTGTAACGTGACATGCACGCAAGCGCAGTAGTTACACCCCACGGAGGACTTGAGGGTAGAAAGGAGCACTCCTCTCCCCGAAAGATTCACAGGAAACCTGCTGGAAGGTCACCACGAGCCTGGTGACACATTGGTGGTGACTTTTGGTGTCTCTCCCAGGGAGTTCCTGGGTGGTGCAGAGGGTGGCATACTGGGCTGCTAAGCGAAGGGCAGTGTGAGTCCAGTTAGTGGCCCCTCAGAGGAAAGGCCGGGCGCCCTGCTGCGGAGAGCCAGCTGTTCCGCTCTGACCCGGGGCTCACACTCGTCAGAACAGACTCCGTGGCAGATGCTGCTTCTCTCACCTCTCTCTTCTCTTGCTCTTCGCTGTCATGGCTGCCCTTTTCCCTTCAGCAGCTCGGAGTGTGGTCCACAGAGCCTGGAGGGAGTTGCGCAGCTGACCGAAAGCATCACCTCTGGCAGTTCGAATCCACCTGCGGCTCCCTGGGTGAGAGGTGGACAGTCCCCTCCTGGGCACTTCATTGCCTCCACAGCTGGGGGAGCAGCTAGAGTTGGTTCCCGCAGGACAGCAGTGCGTTGATGTCACCGAGAGTTAGAAGCCATCCTCCAGGGGACTCAGTGTCACCTCTGTCCCGGTGGCCAGCACCTGTGTCTGTACGTGGATACCTTTGAGGCAGCCCCCACCACAGCCCTGAGGCCGTGTCACCCACCCCCGACTCTCTCCCCTCAGCTGTGCGAGTCGGACAGGCTGTGGGAGCAGATCGTCCAGGCTTCGTGCGACACCATCACGCCCCACATGCAGGCGCTGGCCGAGGACATCGGCTGGAAGGAGCTGTTCTTCACCAGCAAGCTGCAGCTGCAGCACCAGCTCCGCAGGAGGAAACAGAGGCAGGAGGAGCAGGACGCCTCGGACACCGAGTTGTAGGCCTGCTTCCTGCCCAGGGGAAGTCGCCGTGTGGCCATCAGCACCAGGGGGGCCTGTGTCCTCCTCCCAGGAGCTCAGGGGCTCTGCTGACTCAGGGTGCCCCTGAACACACAGCGCAGCGAGACCACGCCATTGAGTGCCTTGTTTGTTGGATCACAACAGGGGCAACATTGTGACCCCCACTACAGAGAACCCCTGGTTCACTATGTCCCCACCCTCTCCTCCCTATGAGGATGAAACCTTCTCCTGGGTAAAAGCAATAAATGGTTATTAGCAGTTTTCTATCATATCCGTGTGTGTGTGTGTGTGTTGAATTTTTGGTTGCAGTTTGGGTGAAACTGCAGATAGTATACTGGTTTCCCACTCAATGATCTATTTTTAAAAAATTTATTAAAATGAACATTTACAGAGATTTTGTATTTCCATTCACTCATTGTTGCATTTTTCTCCCTGCCCACCCCTCCCCCACAGTTCGCTCTTCTCTTTGAAAAGTAAAAAATTCCTTCTTTTTATGCTAGTCATCAGTTTTATTAAGGAGGCCTCATGGGCCGGCAGATGAAGCTTTAGGCTTCTAACCAGAAGGTCACTGGTTGGAAACCAGCAATGACGCTGCAGGAGAATGACGAGGCGCTCCACTCCCATCAAGATTTACAGTCTTGGCAACCCTGGGGGGCAGCTCTGTCCTGTCCAACTGGGTCGCTGTGAATCAGAATCACAGCGGAGTTAACTCGGTGGCAGTGGGGCTGTCCTTGGTAGGTGTTGGCAAGAGCCATTGGGCTTTGAGTTTTGCTGGTGGTATCATGTCGTTGAGACCATTGTGGGTAGGTCACTGCATGTCCCCAGGAGGTGCCAAAGGAGGTGGGGGCACTCAGGCTGAGGCGGTGGCCTTCCCAGCTCCGTTCTGCTCCGTGTGCACCGTCATGGCCCCTCCACGTGGTCCCAGGACACCAGCCCGCCTCATTCTGTGAGGACAACCTCTGTCAGGATCCCGGCTGGAGGAGGAGTAGCCCCAGCCTCCTGCTGACAGGCCTGTCCGAGGGGACAGTCCCAAGACTTGGCCTTGCTCAGCACAGGAGAGAGGTTTCTCCAAAGGAGGCGGCTGTGTTTTGTAACGTGGATGGCTGTGATGTGGGTTGTTAAGAACATGGGCTGTGGGAAGGCGAGTGAAAAGACAATTGCAGCCACCTTTGCAAAGAGTCCAAGGGGGACAGATTCCAGGAGAAAATCCTGCCTCCCTGCAGAAGGTTAGGCCACTGTTCTCTTCATCCAGCCCTCACCTGGGGCCCAGGCGCTCCTGGTAATGTTCACAGACGCAAAGCAAAGTCTTCTCTGCCTTCCAGGTTCCACGGCAGAGTGGGTTTCCACTTCCACGTCACCTTTGTACCTAGTGAGCTTTCCTCCCTGCAATGTCCCCTTCCCGGCTAGAGAGAAATCCTTTACCTGTTAGGACACAGAAGCCCCAGGCTAGCAGGACACTGAGGGGTGGGAGTGGTCACTCACCTCCCCTGGGCCGGCTGGAACGTTCCTTCTTCCTCAGGAACCCGTGTCGCCGCAAAGGTAGATTTCAACCGTTCACACATCTTTTCAGAGTTTTCACCTCGTTTGTGCATGTTATCAGAAGAGTCCGGTCCCTGGAGAAGGGCATCGTGCCTGGAGAAGTAGATGATCCACAAAAGAGGAAGCCCCAAACCAAATGGAGCGGTGGCAGGAGCACGGTGGCAGCCATGAGGCAGGAGCAGGGTCAGGCAAGGGTTGCTGTGAATCAGAGCTGAACTGAGGGCCCCTAACACAGACTCTAAACACCAGCCATCCGCTCCCAGTGCCGTCCAGGCCCGCAGGTGCCATCTGTTGGCTGACAGACACAGAGTTTAGTCTAAGCATTCAGGAAAGGCAGAATTGATGAAGGGCCTCTGCTCAGAGAGGCTCCCCGGGGGCAGGATGGCGGGGACCAGGGGCCAGAGACAGCCCACGGGGTGAGAGGCAATGCACCTCAACAATTTCTTCCCAGGGCTCTGAGCCCTGATTTCTAACCTCGCTGGGTCTTGGGGTGTTAGCACCACGTGTATACAAACACAAGGATGTGATGTGTCAACACAAGCAGATGCCTGTCATTCTAGCTTATCTGTAACATCTTTGGAGAATGTCGGCGTGTTTCATATGTCGTGTTTTATCACCTGACTGAGGTCCCAAAGCCCTTGTGATGCGCAGCATCACCGAGATTCAGCGTCAGTCGGCAATTCACATTTGACTGTTTGCACATTCTTTATTTTTGTATGTTTGTGCGTGTATTGTGTTGTTCGCCCAAGACATATTTTCATATGCATGTGAAAGTTTGGACAATGAAGAAGGAAGACCAAAGAAGGATGGATGTGTTAGAACTGTGGGGTCAGGAGAAGAGAAGCGAATATCTCACGCGTTGCCAAAAGAACTCGTCTTGGAGGAAATGCAGCCAGAGTGCTCCTTAGAGATAAAGGGGGTGAGACTTCATCTCACGGACTCTGGACATGTTCTTGGGGTGGGGCAGTCCTTGGGAAAGAACACCAGATGGGAGGAGTACAGGGTCCGCGAAGGGGAGGAAGGAAGCGCTTCGAGGGGACTGACAGCAGCGATGGTTTCAACAACAGACTCGGCTGAGCAGTGATTGTGAGAAGGGCCAGGACCCGCTGGGTCCCTGTGGTGCTGAGGGCTGTTGTGAGTTGGAAGTGTCTTGACAGCCCCTGGCGCTGCCCCCTAATTGACTTCTTACGCAGTCCTTGAAGGTAAGTACCGTTGTCTCTGTCATCCAGCTCAGGGGTCTAGAATCCATTGTAGGGCCCGTCCAGCCCAGCACCTGCAGCTCTTCTTATAGCTGGTTTCTGTTCTTGCATCTTTACCTGTTTACACCTTACTAGAAGGTTCTCTAAAGAATATCTTTGAGTCTAGGGAATCTTTTTCCCAGAGCATAATTTAATTCCACTTGATTATAAAATAAAATGTATTTATATTTTCATTATTGAGGGATGATTGGGATGGGAGTGTCAGAGACAGTGCGATTGGCACAGGACAGAGCGGAGTTTAGGGCTGTGGTACAGAGGGTCGCTATGAGTCGCAGGCGACTCGACGGCACAGAACAACAACAACAACAATTGAGGGATGAATCCTTGATTTTAAAAGGGAGGTTAGATAGAAATGCCTCTTCATGACCCACAGCTGCACCATGTATAGTCTAAAGAGGCAGAGGGTTAAAAAGATGAAACTGACAAATCCAATCCCAAACTCACTAAAAAGGAGAAAAAAAAATATCTGCTTTAAAAAAAAATCCCTCTGTAAATAGGAAAGAAGAGGTATCATTTCTTTGGATGCCTAAGTGTTAACAACTTTTCGTTTTAGTGATTCTTAAGTTGCGCCATAGAGAGAGTAATCATCCTGAGCTTCAAGAAAAAGAAATGGAATATCTTAAATGTAGACGTGATGAGCTCGTTAAAAGCCAGAAATGGATCATTAGAGCTTTTCAAACCAGAACTGAAAACGCTATGGAAGCACCAGCCAGGATGGGTGCCAGCAGCGTGGAATTGTCTGGGGACAGGCTGGCTGCTCGACGCAAAGCTGATAAAAGATGGCCCAGCGGTGCTGATCTGAGGAACAGAGACTGTCTCGGGCACGGAGGCTGAGCTGCTTTCCTGTCCGTGCAATTGCTGCAGCCTTACCAGACGCCAGTCCACGGTGACCGCGACTTGGCACGGTACAGCTGTGCTTCCGAGGCCTTTCAACGGCAAGCTTTATAGAAACAGATCATCAGGGATTTCTACCAAAGAGACTCTGCGTTGCTTGAACCTCTGGACTTAGAGGTAGCAGCTCAGCGCTTAGAGGTAACAGCCAGGATCACTCCAGGAAATGGACCAGGCTGGGCAGGGGAGGTGACCAGCCAGAGGCACAGGCCAGGCTGCTGTTGTCTCACAGGGAGGCGTGTGTGCAGCACTTTACAGAGATGTTATACACTGGACAAGTGCAGCAATCTGGGCCCCAAAGGGGCATGGTTAGCCGCAGCTCAGAAATGAGGGTTTGGGGCACCCCAACATGAAGCCCCAAAGAGCCCAGAGCAAATAGATGAGTTGTGACATCAGTAGAACTGACTGAATTGCAAACTGAACTGTCTTTTCAGGTGATTGTTGTGTGTCGTCAAATACGAGTGAAGAGAAAGACAAGGAACAGTAAGAGGGAGGATGATGGCAAAGCATCAGGAAGGGACGGGAAGACACTGAGAGCTAGAGCAGGATTAATGGAAGTCAGAATCACAGCGAGGACGTGAGAATGGGGGGTTACATCGTGGGTGCAGAAATTCATGCTATGGAACAAAACGCATATGTATAGTTGAATGAAAAGTTTATCTGCTTTGTAAACCTTCACTCAAATCATAAGGAAGGGGAAAAAGGAAAACAATTTGTTGAGCTGAACCCAGTGTGGTATTTTTAAAAATCCACAATTAAATTGAAAATAGAAAAGCCTATCAAAATGTGTTCCCCTTTTCCAATTACACTTCCCAGTGAGGCATTACTTTCATTTTCTGGGTGAATAAGAACCACAAGTCACAGTCGACTCACTGCAGAATTCAGTGTGAAGAGACCAGCTATCTTCTACGAAACCAGACTTGGGAAAGATTTGCAAAACAATAAAACAATGATATTCTTGCAAAATTTTTGTCAAAAATAGTTACTTTTTTTTGCAAAAAAAAGTGACTTACACAAACATAGTAGATGTGTTATCATCTTAACATTAATTAGTACATAAGTACTTTTGAAATGCCTCATTTTTTATTTCCAGGAAATACTGGAAGATACAGCCACAAAACCAAAGCTTGTTGGGGTTGTTGTTGATTTTTAAGTGGGACCTGAGACAAGAGAGTTGGGGAGATGCCAAGTCACGCACCCCGGTCTGCACCTTCCTTTGACAAGTCCTCAGATACTCCCGAGGGCGAGCTCTTGAATGGTTTGGCTGAGCTGCTCTAAATCTTTCACACTATC